ACACCATCCAATGTCACCGTAGCACAGATCCATCTCTATTATCAATTCATCGCTCAATACGAATATATGTAGCATGTGGCAGATCTCTGCATTTTCTGCAGCACTCGAGCCATTTCTGTCTCTTCTGGAGAATAAACGTGTACTACGGACAACACGGAGAGCATCCGGCCACGCCCCTGCTTGAAGCTAACGGCCCTACGGCAGCTAAGCTTACCCCCCGGTCGTCTGACAGTTATTGATGCGCAATTGCAGTGCGCAATGGAGATAAGAGGCTCTTCATCTTGCATCGAGGTTATCTGGGCAGACTCGCGGGATCTTCGTCAAGTCCCCTGCTAGGCCCTACAAAACTGGGTATCAATAACGGCCTTCTCAATAAGTAGCCTGGCCCCATAGACCGCTCGAGACGTCTTAGCAGAGAGGCACGTCAACGCGATGTTCATCTATCAATGCGTCATGGCAATTCTTCTCGCGGAGATTCGTGTCAACCATGGAGCGGAGCCCTTCCAGCACTGGAGTCAGTCTACGAAGTCGGCAGAGACTTTCGGTCCTGGTAAGGGCAAAGGACACGATCATGGCAGAGAGAATTTTCGAGTTGTAATCTTGCAGCAAAATCATTCTATACCGCATTTGCGGTGCACGACCAGTCCTTCCTTTGTCTGGAGACGAGACTTGCTGTACTTTGTACACCACCCTTCATATGCATCAAAAGTTGCTATGGAAGTTTGAGAAGGTCGGAACGAATTCTTCAAACTTTGAGACATGATGTCCTCAGTCTTACGGGCTACGTGCTACATGCGCTGTACAGCCTGGGGGCGCTCTGCCTCGCGTGAATAGCAATTCCATGGGATGTACTCAGCGAACCGCCACCTATGGCCTCGTCGTCATTCCACTTTCATCATATTCCTCACCTCCTTTTCTTTTTCTGGCTTCATGGCTTTTCCTCCTGCCCTTGCCAATCGACAGTCAAACTCATCCTTTTCCGTTGCACAATGACATTGAGTTCGAACAGATCTGACTCGAGCTCCAGCAAATGGCGTTCCTTGGGACCACCTTGCACGCGGATGCTGATGTCCAAATTCGTACGTCAAGCATGATATTTTCTATTGACGGTGCTCCAAATGTGCACGGTTCCAAACCTCTTCCGAATAGGATAAACGGCTGTGGAGCCGTTTCTTTTCGTCGGCGGGCTTCTGTATTGAATTCGACCGCCAGGATGGAGTAAATTTTGATCAGCGTCAAGAGTTATTCGTGTTTCACGGTACTAGTCCGCTGGCGAGTGCGTTTTGCTGCTCCACGCCCTTCTGCATCAGCGTCAATGGAATTTCCTCTTAGATGGGCATGACAGTCCTCGAAGTTGTGACGTATAACTGCCGAGATCATACAAATAGCTGTCCAGCTGTCGATGTGAGCTCTGGAAATCTCCGGGAGCTTGAAGTTAAGTTTTTTTATGAGAACCGGAATAAAAAAGCCAAAATCTATCAGTCCCATACAGCATTTGTTTCAATCAATTCCACTCACAATGTTGTCCAACCTGGATCTTATCAAGGCCTGTGACAGGTATGTCATGACTACTCCGTTTTGCCAACCTATGATAGGTACCCATTGCTGACCGCAAACGCAGAGCACCATATCCTCAGCATGGTTTGAAGGAATATGAGGCTTTCTTCGCAGGATATCATGAGTTCAGGATTCAGGGCTGCGATAGGGCCCTTGGTTATATGACGAACGATGTCGTTCGTGCTTTCCCCTGGCCTAAGGAGCACTGGAAGATCAATCCCGATCTGAGGACCGTGACACTGCTCACCTCACCCAATGCCACGGTTGAGCATCGCAGTGAAATCATCAAAAAGACATTGCTAGCTGCCAAAGCACTAAACCGATTTCCAGAGCTCAAGGGTTGGCGGAATGAGTCGTTTGCCATATACGGGCCTAATAAGGTCCTTCTGGCAAACATCGAACGTGCAGCGGTTGGCCTCTTCGGCACCATGAGCTATGGAGTGCATGTCACAGCATATGTCGAAGACGAGAAAGGTCTCAGAATATGGGTTCCACGTCGCGCTAGAACAAAGCAGACATGGCCGGGGATGCTTGATAACTCCATTGCAGGCGGCCTAGCCTCCGGAGAAAACCCATTTGAATGTATGGTGCGTGAGGCCGAAGAGGAAGCTTCCATCCCAGCAGAGCTTGTCCGTTCTAGGGCAAAGGCGTGCGGGTCTGTCTCATATATATACGTTGGTGATGGGAGCGACAGGGGTTCCCCTGGGACTTTGCAACCCGATAATGAATACGTCTTCGATCTCAAGCTGGACGCCGACACCATTCTCAAGCCACATGATAAAGAGGTTGAAGAATTCAAACTATGCACAGTGGAAGAGATACAGGCTGCGATGGCAAGAGAAGAGTTCAAGCCCAATTGTCCAGTGGTGTTGATTGATTTCTTCATCAGGCATGGTATCATCACACCAGACAACGAGAAAGACTATATGGAGATCATTTTCAGGAGCCATCGTCACCAAATATTGCCAATTGTTTAAGGCAGAAGAAAGCTTGTACAAGCATGAACATAACCAAGTCATATTACATACAGGTGAGAGGATGAAAGAACTCACATGCAGAACTAGCATAGCAATACTCTCATGCCGTGATAAGGCTAGAAGAGAAAGTATTTATTTAGAATACAAAGAATTAGACAAAATTTTCCAGTAACGCCACGCTAAAATGCACAAGATGACCCGAGGACTTAAGATTGCAAACGATCATCAAAACCTCTAATGGACAATAATGGAGAGTTCCGAATGTAAATCGCTACTTCTTGAGGAGGAGATAGAGGTAGTCGATGCGTAGTGGGTTCAGTCTGGCATAAGGACCCTCGAGATAGAGAAGCAAACCTCCAAAAGAAATAAAACCAGCTCTGATTTAGAACAACACGGTCAGCAATAGGTCACGGCCTGACAGTCTTTGCTGATGAGGAGCCAACGACAAAGCGATAATAGTGGTGATGGTGGTGGCAGAGATGACGGCGGCTTCGATGTGACAGAGACTGGGCAGAGGCAATACACGCGATCTGAAACTTCAGGACAGTCTGGCGCAGCAATGCAGATGAAATGACTTGATATAGGACAATAGAAGGCCTCGATGCGGAGGAGGAGGAGTGATTTGATATGGTTGATGGTCTCGTTATTTTTGGAGCGCCGCGAGGCTTTGCAGAAGCGCGGTAGGCGCGCGGCTATAACGGCTATCTCCAAAATAGCATCACGACACGGCATCAGACGAGATACAATTGTGTGTGAATGTACAAGAAGACGTCGCATCGCAATCATGGAAGAGAATGAGAGACGTATAAGAGTTGCAATGCGATGGGCGGACGACTTCAATTTGATGGTCAATTACATAGTACAGTATCCGTACTCCGTAGGACTTCCACGTCGAGACACAACAGGCCACACGTGATAGTCTCGCTTGGCCCTGGCGGGCATTTCTTGGCGGTTGACCATCGCATAAAATCTCCGCGCATCTTCGTCTTCATTCAAATTTTCTTCCTTCTGTGTATTTTTCCACAGCACGGCGCGTCACCATGCTACATCATTGGCCTGCTGTGCTTGCGATTGTCAAAACTGTTGCTAGTTGATGAACACGACTTCGGCGGCGATGTGAGGGATTCTTCTGAATCGAATGTGAGTTACACCCAGATACTTGTGATATCTCCATCTCCCCTTCATATGATTATGCAAATACAAAATCTGTCAATCCCCTGAAGCCTAAAAACTTTACCTTTTATCGGGCATATGTGATTGAGAAATGTAACGACCGTTATGATTGTACCTGTTTCATGAGACTACTTCATTGTTATGCATCCTTTGATGTTCAGTGCTAATCAGTCTATCTATACAGGTAGCTTCAGCTTTAGTTTCCCAGTACTGGCCGGGACCTCTTCTTTTGCGGTAGAAAAGGAAAAGGCAGAAGACGCAAAGAAAATGCGACAGCATCTAGATCTACACGTTCCCATCTCCCTCATCCCTCATAGCAGATCAATATATTCTTTTCTCTATCGATGCTGTAACTTATGTCCGCTGGGAACATCACATCTGCGGTGTTCTCTCGGGCACTTTGCCCCATGTACCTCGAAACAACGTGTTCCTTGGCCTGTTGCTTGAACTCATGCCTGAAAAAGCAAGACTTCTGGTAGACAAGGGTGTTGCGTACCTTAATGGAATTAGACGTCACGGTCAGTATGCCGCTTCAGCCCAGGCATCACGAAAGAAACAGCAAAGATATGCTGCCTTGCAGAAGCAAGGGAACATCCACGCTGAGACTGAGAAGAAGGAGGCCTTGAGTGATTCGAAAGCAGAAGAGGTCGCAGACGAATCGCTATCTTCCCCCTTTACCGCCAATACATCTAGTGTGGCAAGGCGATCAGATGTCGCTGAGCCTACCTCATCCGTAATCACTCGCCTAATCAATCTTCCCCAGCGCCATCTGTGCCTTCTGGGACGAAGAAAATGATCTCATGGATCTTGCTGTTGGAGGCTGTTTTGGTACTGGTGTCAAGAAAGGGCCTCTGATCGATGGTGAGGAGGAATCAAACCATGATGGGAACGGCAAGGCAATCCGAGTTTACAAGTTTGGATGGGCAGGAATGTGAAAAGCAACGTACTTGCTCGCCAAGTTACCAGTCCTACATACAATGCTGCCATCTTGATCCCGCTGTCAGCAGCACATTCGGCGTGCAAAAGAACTGCAATACCTTGTACCGTTATACCATGCACCAGCTTCAATGTGTGAAGAACATCCGATCATATCTGTGAAACCAAGTAGTTCAGTGACGAGAGAAAATATGTTGCTTTGATTTCAGAGCATCGTCTTTGGCTTAACGACAGGAGGGTCCAATTGGCTTTTTGCCATGCCATCTTGGAATTGAAGAGGAATGCGATTTTGATGTTGATGCTTCACACAAGAGGTTGATAAGGTGAAAGAATGAAAAAAGTATGGCGACGAACGTGGGACTCGAACCCACAATCTTAGCTTGAGCTGCCTTTATAGGAGAGCTACGCATTACCATTCTGCCAGTCCGCCATAACTGATTGAATTTGACGATTATTGAGGTATATATAGCGGAGACAAATCCTTCATACACCTCAAGGAAAGACCCACGACTGAGCGCGAAGTAAAGCTGGACTTGCAAGTGATCAATACTGATCGGGAATCTAAGGTGCAGGGCTAGATGCTGCTGAATACGGATGATAAAAGACCTCACTGCCCTAAAACCTCTTGTGTGTGATCATGGTCTTCATGGTCTTATGTCTCTGAGGTGAGCGGAATTACGAGTCCCTTTTTAACTCACAAGCTCATGCTTGGGTTGAAAAGCACTGACTAAACCTGCGGAGCCAAGCGAATATAAGATAGCTGGTGCCTGATGGAAGAAACGAGTTCTGATTGAATTTATATGTACAAGTATGGCTCCGTATAAGTCAAAGGGGGGAGTAACGGGACGGGGGGGAAGTGGGACAGCCTTTTACACCAAAACAAGCGATTTTTGGCGATTTCTACAGTC